TTATTATATTAAAGGTATAATGTATCTATATTATTTATTTATCTATTCATGATTATTTTTTTAGAAATTTGATATAACATATTATATACATATATATGTAATATTTCTAATTAAACTTTTTTTTGAATTTATGATGGGTTTTCTAGCGAAGGGGAGTTATAGATCTCTCACCAAATTGAGTTTTTGCATAATACAAATCTATATGATAAGGATTATAACTGGTGAAAAAAAAACATATGTATAACATATTTTTAAGGGATCATCCATCACTCAATTACACTGTACCTCCCACCCTTTTTGCTAGAAAACTTCCTCATATATATCATATATATATAAAATATTATTTAATGTTTGAGATGGATTTAACAATCACACATTAATTCATTCATACTTATAAATAATTACAATCACTCATATCAAACATTCATTCAAAATTCAATGAAATAAACAATTCTTTATTTTGAGAAATAAATATAATAAATCTAATAGGCTTTACAATAATTTAAACTCAAAAATTAAAAATTTTTAAATTAATGCATTGTAAAAAAATTTTTTATAAATTAATATTTTGGCTGTTTTCTTGGTGGTGTTGTATTACTGTTATTATATCCAGGTGAAAATGTTGAAAAATCAACTAGTTCACCTTCTTCAGGTCTATCAAGATCTGTATGTGGGCGGTAAATAATGCTATTACCACTAGCATTGTTATTATTATATTCTCTATCATGAAAATCAATTCTACTAACTTTATCTCTATTATCATTATTATTCCAATCACGACCTCTATTGTTGTTGTTGTTGTTGTTGTTGTTGTTGTTACGACCACCACCACCTGAATAACGATTATTATTATTTTCCCCACTTCCTCCAATTTTTTTATCTGAAATTCTGCATCCATTATTTCCAATTTCATAATCACCATCTTCAATTTTATCATTTTCAGCACTATTATTATTATTATTATTATTATTATTATTATTAGGTGGTCCAAAACGATCTCTAATATCACTTGTACTCCAACTATCACGTCTAGTAGCTCCTTTCCGCTTATTATTGTTGTTGTTATTATTTGAGCGAGATCGGTCACTGTTTTGTTGTCTTGAGTCATTATTATTACCATTATTAGTATGAATGCTATTAGTATTTGAATTACCATTATTGTAAAATGGTCTGTTTGAATTTCTGGTATTATTATTATTACTACCAACAAATAATTGTTGTTGTTCTTTATCATTTTCCTGTTTTATTTTTGGTGTGCCTTTTGAATAAATAATAGATTTAGAATTGGAAGACATGGACGAAGATATTTGCATAGACTCTTCTTGTTTTATTTTTGTTGTTGATGTATTAGCAATATCACTAGTATTAGTAGTGGAGGTATTAACAGCAATGATATTAGTAGCATTAGTTTTTGATGTAGATATTGATGAATCATACTGTGGTGTCAATGATGATGATATTGACAATGTTGATGTTGATTGTTGAATTTGAGTTGGTTCAATAGGTTTAAAAGTGTTTAAATCAATTTCAACCCGATCTTTAGTCATTGGTTTCTTTATAAATTTTATTTTAGAAGGGAAAATAATGATATTAATATTATTGAGTTTATGTGAAGAGGCAAAATAAAGAATATTTACAAATATTGAACTGTTTCCATTGTTTTCTGATATCCATAGAAAACCACTCATATTTGGTTCTTCAGATTCCTTATACTGCATTGCATCCCTAACAAATAAATAAATTAGCACCATACTAATAATAATATTATTATTACAATAACTTACCAATCGACAATCTTAATTTTTCCATAGTGGCTATTTACAGTTAATTCCAGTTTATCATCATGGACTCTTGTCTCACTATGTATATAAGCATATATATATATATGTGTCAACGAATTTAATTAAATGAATTACAAAAAAAAAATATTCATAATTGGACTGATTGAATAGGCTTACCCATTATAAATCTGAACAACATCACCCTCCCTAAAATGTTGACCTTTATCCCAGATTACTAATGTACATGTTGCAGTTTCATCAGCTACTAGGAAACTATGTATCTCGACATCTGAATTGGTTTTTAGTGTACGTTTTGAAACTAATATATGTAATTATAATATTAGCATTAATTAATAATTCAAAGATTTTTTTGTAAACTAATCTGTAAATTATTTGAGCCTCAATTATTCACCATCATTTAGTTTACTTACTAAGCTCTAACAGTATACATTTAATGTCAAACCCTCTAACCCAAGGCCTTAAATCTACTATTTTTATATCGCCTGACACTATAATAGGTGCTGGTTTATTGATTTTTTCAGATCTGCTAGATTGTCCATACCTATGTGGTGGTGGTTGTGGTAATGGATTAGACATTGTGCCCGTCGATGTCGTCATTGAGTATTTGTAACTGTTACCGCCGTTACTACTACTACTACTACTACTACTACCAACATTGTTATTGTTATTTTTATTGTCTAAATTCATACTATTACTATTATTATTATTATTATCTGAAATTTAAAATTTTATTATCACGTGTTTTGTGGAAATCGTCAAGTCAGATATACTATTACTATTACTATTACTATTGTATCCAACGTCCCAATGTCGCACGACTAATATGTTCGTTATAAAGAAGTTCAAAAGAATTTATTTTTTTTTATTTATTAGCCGCAATCATCTAAATGAAAAAATATAAAAATAAGATTTGTGAGACGATTAAAAAAAATATATAAACATCAGCGAAAGTTTTTTTCACAACATTTTCTTTTTTTTAAAAAAAAAATTATATATAAATATCAGCGAAGGTTTTTTTCACAACAACATTTTCTTTTTTTTTAAAAAAAATTATATATTTCTTATTCTCGTATGAAGAATGCCGTATAGAGGCCCATACTTGCTAAAGGGATGCATAGAGTGCAGGAGAAACAAAAAGAAATGCGAGGAAATCGGTGATGAAAGATGCAAAGCATGCAAGCTTAAAAATCGGACTTGCATTAGATATTGGATTCCAAAAAAAAGGGGGAGAAAAAGAAAAATTGGTAATTATTTTCTTTTTTTTATTTTATTTTATCAAGTAGATGAAAACACCATAAATTTTTTCAGAGAAATGAAATATCCACTCGAATTCGATTCATCAGACTCGGGTTGTATAAATAACAATAACAACAACGATGGTAATGAGAGGTTTTACACTGGATACAACAACTATAAGTTCGAATTTGATCCATCCTTGCCATCAGACTCAGATGTTCCTTTTTCTAACAATCCTATTACATGAGAAATTAATATCTGTGAAAAAATTTTCAAGTAAGTTTAAATAAATTTATTATTATATTAAATTATTTATAATATATAATAATTTACTTGTTTTTATATACATGCAAAAAAATTCTTCTGGTGCTGAAGTATTAGAATTATTAACTGCAGTAGATGAATATATGAAGAAATATTTTATTTAAAATTATAAAAGAAAATTTATAGCCAAGAAAATAATGTTTTATGATATGATTTTATTTTTTTTTTTTGTTTAACTCACCAGATGTAATTTCATTATTTCAATAATGGCTTTTTCAAAAGCATTATAATCCTCATAACCTTAGAATGACCATTTTTATTAACTTCTCTAAAAGGAGTTCTATTAATTTTATAAATTTCTATAAAGTAGACTTGTTAAACTATAAATTATCACAATTATAAAATAAAAACAAATTTACCTGTTAATCATCATCCTCTTCATTACATAATTCAACGTTTGCTTTAATACCAGATTCAGATTTTCTGGCGATCCCGAGTGGACTAAAGATGATAACATTGCCAAGCATCTGTTTTTTTTAGGAATGATTTGATAAGAACTTAACCAGCAAGTGAACAGTGTACAACATATGTCATAATTTCATTAACAAAAACACTTAAATTTGTTAATTGTATTATGTCAATCGTTCGCATAGAATGATTGACTATGTGAAGTTTACCAATATCAATGTCACAATCTTTACAGATTTGTTTAATTAGATTGTCAAGTAATTGTTTTTCTATGCTTGTGTTCGAAATCCATTTTCCTTTCAAATGTTAATTTTATTTTCTATTTTTAAGAAAAACATTTAACATTCTGGTCTTTTGTTTCTATAATGTATTATGTCTTGTGCAGGTCAAAATTTACTATCAGCATCAGCCTGGTATTTGACAAATCCGTCTATTATTATCCATGTCCAGCATGATTCTTTTTCCTGGGAAGCGATACAGTTATACTCTTATTATTATCATTATTTAATGTTGTCCAAGAATCTTCAAGTCTTTTTAGATCTTACATTTTCAATTTTTCAATGACCGTTCTTCATCATGGAACTTGTTTAAAATCAAATTTTTCTTCCTTCAGGTTCCAATTGGCTTCGTTCCTGTAGCAAAAGCAACATCTATGGGATACGTACACTATTGACTAGAATAATAAGCGTGATATCGGTAAAGAAAATATTAGCGGAAATAATAACAGCACCAGCTATATATGTATGAAAAAAAAATGCACGTAGGAAAAATTTTACAATTCAAACTACCATATTTAGAAATGTCGTACGAATTACCATTTTTATATTTTTATTTAATATTAAACATTAAATAAAAATAATAATTCCGAGTTTATCAATATTAATTCAAATTTTTAATAAAACGGTACATTTACAAATGTTTAACCGTTGTTAAATTTAATTTTTTAAAATGCACATATTTGTGAAAAGCTCTTTTCTGTGTTGTTTGTGGATTTAACAAGCGACTAAGCATATATTTGAGCAGTATGTCTGGTAGGTTTTGTCAGCTATAACCCTTTTAACGGAGTTTTGTTGTCATGATACTTAGATACTCAAGCAAACACTGTGTCCCTTTTAATATTTCTAACAAACTAGCACAGCAAAAATCTTGTTCACATGGAATCTTTGGAATAGTTTGTTGGAAAACTTGTAGTATCGTTTTATCAGGAATAAATTGTCCTCCACTTTCACCATGGTTGTGGGTAAACCTTATAAATCACAGAATTCAACCTTGGAAATCATCATTACTGCTATAACATTAGGACCAACTGTCTATGCATTTATTGGTTGTCATGGATAATGGATGGTTGTACTTGTTACACTTACTCCTTGGGGTCTCAAGCTTTATTATGATGTAGTATTTGAAGTTGAAGCAAATGAAGCAAATGAGCAAATACATGATAAAGAATCAGAAATTAAACATTATATATCTATAGGGGCATTAGTATTTTCATTGGAATTTGGCTATCTGCTTCTGGCTGAGTTGGCTTGATTGTGATGTCTCTCAAGCCAGCGAACACGGAAAAACCATTGATTGACTGGATATGGGCAATATACGTAGTGCCCCTCCTCTTATTTTTAGGTGATTTTTTTCTTTTATTGACATTTCATATTATAGAATCGCATATAATTCTTGCTATTATTTCTGATAGTTGGAGTGAAATTGCTTATACAGGGGCTGGGGTGGCATTAGCAATTGTCTTTTTTATTGGAAAACTTCAGCTGTTCCTAGATTTTCAGTGTTAATTTATTTGTATTATATATTGATTTTCACATCGCAATAAATAATAGTTTATTATTCGTTTTTGTATTAGTATATACCAAAAAAGTTAAGCGTTAAAAGAGCATTTATGATTTTACAAAATGGAAACAAAAAGCGGTAGAACATTGATGAGAAAAGCAAGCAAAATACTGAAAAAGAGTGTAAATATATCCATCCATATAAATTATTACAATTCGCATATCCTTTTTTATTTTCATAAAAATCCGAGAATTCAAATTCACCTGCCATATAATTGTAAATAAGGCACTTCCTATCACAACTTGTGAAATTTATAACTACCACGTTTCTTAATTACCGGTAGTAACATTTGTTGATTATTTGGACGTCGATGAGAAGTTATTGTTTGGATAATATTTGATTGGGGTCCTACATCGTATGATTTTACAAACACAGTCGTAATGATGAGTCATAAGCTTTTTGGGTAATATGAGTGCCCAGAAAAAATATTTGCATAATTTTCCATAATAATAATTAAAAAAGGTAAACAAATTCCTTTCTGGTCATTTTTTAAAACAATAAATTATAAAAATCATATGTTAACATCAGGAAAATTTCAATATAAACTTTAACTAGTGTACATGCTAAGAACATCTAATATCAATTTCCAGGCTCTATTAATATCTAGTTGTGACTCTTCCAAAAATAAATGTTCTTAGACTGCATGAAATGTTTCAAGACAACAATGAATAGAAATCCAAAGGATAATCATATAATAGCAATGTGTGAGTAATTTAGGAATAGAATTGTTTTGTTTTACTCGAAATAATAAATGTAGGATTACTTTGCATTTGGCAATTTTCTATAATAGAGCAAGAGTATGTAAAGTATCTGTCCAGATACTAAATTGAAAATTTATTATTATATTGCGACCCGGATTGTTAATGGATTAACGTTATGGACCCGTTAATATTAATATTATTAATATTAAGGATTTTTTTTCATCCGGATTGGTAACAGGTTAATAGCAGAAATTATTGGAAAATATATTTATTTAATTTGGAGGATGAATTATTTCAAGTTGTGATTTATTTATTTTTAAGAACATAAATTTTTTTAAAAAATCAGGTTTCATCCATGTTTTTTTGCATGTTAATAAATTACTAGCATCTGAAAAAAGTATTTCACTTGATGGATTTGTTAATATTAACAACGGATTGTAACACAAATAATAATAATAACCCGTTATTACTACGCAAAACTTATTAACATTAACGTTAACCCATTAACAGCCCGGTTAATTACCGGATAATAATAAGGTCTTAACGGGTCGTAACACAAATTAAATACATTGATTACCTTCAAAAAAACTGTCAGTTTTAGAGTATTTTTTAGCCATATAAAGGACATCTTTTATAAGTCACCAAAACTGTTGGGGCCAATTCAATGCTTTTTCATCCATTGTAACTTTTTATATTCCTGTACAAAAGTTGCAGACTCGGGAGAATAAATTTCGGATATTTTAGAAAGAAAACTATAACAGTTATAGATTTTCTCCAGTTGTGGTGATGTCACTTGATAAAGTATATAATTAGTTATAATTAATTTTAGAAATAAACAAATATAATTAATGTCCAAATATTGTGCTGATCAAAAAATTCCGGTATAAAACATCAACACTCACTCAACAAAGCTATGATTTATGTATAACTACATAAAAATTTAATATATATATATATAAATTCCGAATATTGAACGGATTTAAAATTTTTTTTTTATTAGACGTAATCATCTAAATAAAAAAATTCCGCTATGATTTTTTTTCCGTAATGTTGGGATAAAAATAAGATTTGTGAGACGATTAAAATATATATATAAATATCAACGAAAGTTTTTTCACAACAAATTTTCTTTTTTTTAAAAAAAATTATATATTTCTTATTCTCGCATAGAGAATGTCGCAGGGAGGCCCATACTCACGAAAGGGATGCATAGAGTGCAGGAGAAACAAAAAGAAATGCGAGAAAACCGATGATGATGAAAGATGCAAAACATGCAAGCTTAAAAATCGGACTTGCAATAGAGATTGGAATCCAAAAGAAGGGGGAAGAAAGAAAAAATTTGGTAATTATTTTATTTTTTTTATTTTATTTTATCATTTTATTATTTTGCTATACATATTTAATCATCAATTAGATGAAAATACCATAAATTTGTTCAGAGGAATAAAATATCCACTCAAATTCGATTCATCCTTGCCATCAGACTCGAGTTGTATAAATAAGAATAACAACAACGATGGTAATGATAGTACAGATAATGATTCCTTCAAAAGAGAGAGGTTTTACAAGGGATACAACAACTATAAGCTCGAATTTGATCCATCCTTGCCATCAGACTCAGATGATTCTTTTTCTAACAATCCTATTACACGAGAAATTGATTAATATCTGTGAAAAACTTTCAAACCTATTCTCAAGTAAGTTTAAATAAATTTATTATATACTAAATTATAGTAATATCTCCTGCTTAATAATTATTTTATTTTATATACATGTAGAAGTGTATTTAAAAATTATTCTGATAAACTCGATATTGTGTTGTTTTATAAATATTTTATTGAAAATTATGAAAGAAAATTTATATATAGTTATCATAATTTTCAAAAGAAAAATTTAACGTCTTATAAATACTGGCTTATTTATAAACGATTTTGTTATTTTTTGACTCGGCACATGATTTCAATTAAATATACATATCAATAATCTATTCATCCAATTTTTTTATTGTTATATGAACGTCGACTTTTATTACATCTTTAGAACCTTTTGTTTAGAAGAGATTTTAAATGGCCTTTTCAATAAGATATTTAGCTCCTAATTTAGTATGACCATTTTTATTAGCTTCTTTAAAAGGGTTTTATTATTTTTATAAATTTCTAATAAAGTAGACTATAAAATTATCCCAAATTATCCAAGCTTTATAAAAAAAACCAATTTTACCTGTTAATATCATCCTCTTCATTACATAATTCAAAGTTTTGGCGATAATGATGATCCTGAATGGATTAAAAACGATACATTGCTAAGCATTTGTTTTTTTTAGGAATTTATAAGTAAAATTTTTTCTAGGTTTGTATTTGAAACCATCTTCCTTTTTGAAATGTTAATTTTATTTGACATCCACAATGTACTGATATTCTGTTTCTACAATGTATTATGTACAAGCCAAAATTCACTGTCAGCGTCAGCTGGTATTTGACAAATCCGTCCATTATTATCCATGTCATCAATGATTCTTTCCCTCGGTGCAGTTTTCCGAGAGAAAAAGAGAAATAGTGAGAGAAGTAGAGAGAAGTAGAGATCTTCAATAACCGTGTTGCCTTTTTCACCTTTAGCGTTTCTTATAATTATTTAATATCAATGACGATAAAGAATCTTATATAATTACCTGTACATAAATTTTGCTCTACATTTTGATTTTTATATGATATTTAGGCTATCGTGTAAAAGAACCAAAACGATGATAACGATCACCTTCAAACTAATATTCTGAGAAGTTAGACAAAAATACTCTTGGCTACAATCAGATATTGAAGTAGCCAACGAAGAAGAACAAAAAGAAAATTCCGATAGAGGGTTAACAGCATTAAGAATCGCTGTAAAGAACTTGAGGAAAAGAACATGTGTAAATCTTGGAGTCTTTAATTTGAAAAATATGAAGCACTATTGTCACAAAATATATCGAAGGCATTATTGAGTAGAGCATATGTATGAATATAGTATCACATTCACATTCATATTCGTATTGCATTATGTTATTGAAATTATTTATTAATTGTTTTTAGTTTTTCTTTTTTCTTTCCTTTTAGGGTTCGTTTTTTCGTTGATAGAAACGGCAGCTCTTTTTCCTTCAATAAAATAACCACTTTGTAGAATGAAAACTTGGCCTTTTTATCAAACAATTATTTGAAATCTTTCCATAGATGACAATTTCTTGTTGCAGTTTTCCGAGAGAAAAAGAGAAATAGTGAGAGAAGTAGAGAGAAGTAGAGATCTTCAATAACCGTGTTGCCTTTTTCACCTTTAGCGTTTCTTATAATTATTTAATATCAATGACGATAAAGAATCTTATATAATTACCTGTACATAAATTTTGCTCTACATTTTGATTTTTATATGATATTTAGGCTATCGTGTAAAAGAACCAAAACGATGATAACGATCACCTTCAAACTAATATTCTGAGAAGTTAGACAAAAATACTCTTGGCTACAATCAGATATTGAAGTAGCCAACGAAGAAGAACAAAAAGAAAATTCCGATAGAGGGTTAACAGCATTAAGAATCGCTGTAAAGAACTTGAGGAAAAGAACATGTGTAAATCTTGGAGTCTTTAATTTGAAAAATATGAAGCACTATTGTCACAAAATATATCGAAGGCATTATTGAGTAGAGCATATGTATGAATATAGTATCACATTCACATTCATATTCGTATTGCATTATGTTATTGAAATTATTTATTAATTGTTTTTAGTTTTTCTTTTTTCTTTCCTTTTTTTCCTAAAAAAAAAGGGACCCAAGTAAGAAGAGTTGATCAATTCAGGAACGAAGAATAGTTTTGAAATTGAAATTTTAGAAAATGAGGGAGATCGGTGGTGTGAACAATTCTGATGGGAGTATAATAATTGAAGGTGAACAGAGCGACTGAATGGATCGATTGAAAATGACCAAAGATGAAATACGGGAGCTAAAATATGGGATACAGGA